ACTTGGTGGCTCATAAAGAACAAATTTATTTCTAATAGTTCTAGGAGCTGGGAAATCCAAGATCAAGTTGCTAGCAGATTTGGTATCTGGTGAGAGCCAACTTCCTCATAGATGGAACTTTCTCACTGTGGTCTCACACGGTGGAAGGGGCAAGATGTATCTCTTGGGTCTCTATTATGAAGGTATTAATGCCATTTATGAGGGCTCTACCCCCATAACCTAATCACCTCCCAAAGGCCCATCTCTTAATACCATCAGGATGCAGAGGTGATTGGTGAGGATTTCAACAAATGAATGTTGTGGGAACAAAAACATTCATATCATAGCAACAACTTTATAAAATATCGTCATTCTCTTGTTACAGAAGAAGAAACTGAGACACAGAGAGGTTCAGTAATTTGTGTGAGATCAAATCTAAGAGGTTCTTGTTTTCTCAATAGTTTTCTATTTATAAATATGTTTATCTGACAAATAATTGAGTTTTTACTCTGTCATATACTATTCAAGACATGGGGAATATAGCATTGAACTAAGAAATGTTACCTGTCCTCATGAAGCTTTCATACCTGTGGGAAAGAAAAATAATAATTAATTAATATAAAGTGAAGTATGTATCACAAACCTTGATTAGATGATAGAGCATAACAGAGTTGAACATAAAGTTCTCTCTGAGGACTCAAATCGCATCATTAAAAAATATTTTTGTATGTATTTTTAAATAGTAATGTATTCTCGTTCAGACATTAAAACACATAAAAACGATCAGAAAAGTAAATAATCTGCTCACAAAAATATGTAAACAAGTAAATAGAAGAAAATCTATCATTAGTTTGCTATTAGTTCTTCCCAAATTTTTTTGCTTTATGCATATTTAAGCTTATAAATTTATGTTATTTTCACCTCATTTCTTACTCGAAGGAAACATATTTTACTATACCATACACTATCCTATACTTGCTTTCCACAGTACATATTTTGGAGATATTTTCATATCAATACTTAAAACCTCATTTTGTTTTTACAACTTCCTACATTTTCACTGTATGAACATATCAGCATTTATTTAACCAGTTTTCTATTGATGGGCACTTAGGTTGTTTCTAATCTTTAATTACAACAAGCAATACTGCAATGAAGAACCTTATACATGAAGCGTCAGCAAACTGTTTCTTTAAAGGGCCACATAGTAAATATTTTAGGCATTGTAGGCCATATGGTGTCTGTCACAGCTGAACTCTGTGATTGTAGCATGAAAGTAGTCATAATCAATCTACATAAGCAAATGAGCATGGTTGTTTTTAATAAAACCTTATTTACAAAAATAAGAATTGGGCTTAATTTGGCTATGGTTTTATCATTTGTTGATGTGTCATGCATCAATTTATATGATTATATCCGTTTTATATGAGATTATATCCATTTTATATAAGATTATATCCATAGGATAAATTCCTAAGAGCATACATTCATTTCTAAATTTGATAGATTCAGCCAACTTATCTTTCACTGAGATTATATCAATTTTCATTCCCAACAGCAATATATGGAGTACTGCTTCATATATTCAGCAATTCATCATGTTCACAGCAACTTTTGAGGGTTTTGCCAATTTTGTAGGTAGAAAAGTGTGTCTCCGTATATTTTTCATTTCAATTTCTCTTCTGATGAATGAAATTGAGCAAATGTAAGAACCATTTGTTTTCTATTGGATAATTTGTATTTTATCAATTTGTGGGAGTTTTTATATAATAGGAAGATAAGCTCTTTCTCTGTGATAGGTTGAAAATAATTTTTCCAGCGTGTTATTTATCCTTTGACTTTATTTATGGCATTTTGTTATTTTAAATCAATGAAAAGGTTTTGTTTTTATACAGTTACACTAACGAATTTTTTTTTTTTTTTTAGGGATTCTAGATTTTGTAAATAGTTGAAAGATCTGCCACACTCAAAAGCTATGAAGAACTCTCTCACATTGTCTTCTGAGGTCACATTTTACATTTCAAACTTTCATCTGTTTGAAATTAAGCCACATATGAAGTCCATTTTTTCCTTCCTACTGGTTACCAAATCAACCCCATGATATTTAGTAATTATTCTACTTAATAGAAAGTACGTTTATTTCCTTTTTTGTCCTATGAACTACAATTTTGGTTCTGTCCACATGATGGCACCACAACCCAAAAAAAATCATTTTCTCAATTGGAAAGAAGACACCATAAGATCTACACAGTGTTAATATTTCATTAAATGCCTCCATGTTGTGGAAAACAGACCTGAATTTCATATGGAATGTTCAATAGTTTATCAAATACTGAAGTCCATTTGGTAAAGACACACACCATTGTATATGCTAATCAAAGTAATTGAAATAATTTTTAAAAATTATGACAATCTATTCTTCATAGTCTTTATCTTAGGCACAAAGAAATACATATGCACATACACATATATGCGTGTGTGTGTATATTTATGTATACATATAAACTTTATTATCAACCAATAAAGACATGGTGTGTAAAACTAGCTTCGAGAAATTCTAGTAATATTTTCTAAAACCGAAAACCTTCAAAATCTTAGAAAGTAGGTTTGCATAAATCTGGGAAGCAAAGGTCACCCTAGGTTTATGAATAAAGAGGATGATTATGTAATTCTGAATTCCCACCCCTAAACCCCACCCCTTACTCCATCCCTGACAATCTTGGGATTAAAGTCTATTGTCACTTATGAGAAACATGCCTGGACTTGCCCTGTACTCTTTAAAGAATTAAAAACAGAAGCCACAGAAAGCACTTTTCCTTTCTCCTCTATAATGGCAAAGACTTTCCCTTTCTCCTCTGTAACGGCAATGAGCCTCTTTTCAACATTATGCTGGAAGTATTTGAGTCACAGTATCTTTGTAAATGTTTGATTCATGTTGATACCACGCACACCTAAATTTGACAGTGGACTGCAGCAACCCTTTTTGTACATACCTTCCAGGGATTCAATAATCTGATATTCCAAATGTCTCTGGAATTTCGCTTCTAAAAACTGTTTACCATATCTTGTTAACATAGATAAAAAGGTTCAAGTGTGCTAATAAACGTAACTTCGATGATCTACTAAAAATACAGTTAAATTCTCCAAGTCTCATCTATAAAATGGGAATAATAGTGTAGGAGACCAGAAATTGCCACCCCAAATATGGCTCTGGGATAAGGATTATTTAGAGATAATTATTTTGAGAACTAGCCGACCCATGAGATGCTCTAAAAATGGCATAGTACCCTTTTGTAAGAGAAACTTACATTTACTAAAACAAAAACAAAAAACCCCCATAAAACTCCATTTGTAAGAGTGTCTTCTCTGTGCCAGGAAGGAAAGTTTGACTCTAAATCATGAAAAACTCTTATCAGTGAAGAAATAAGAAACCCCACTCCTATTTACTATACATTTCCTGGTCATGCTTCCTTAACTTGCCCACCCCATACTCTTTTCTTTTGGTTTAGCTAAAGATGGTATTTAACCCCGATTTTCAGCCATTTCATGGGTTATCTCCCATGTATATAGGAGACATACCTGTTAATAAACTTTCTTGTTTTCTTGTTAATCTGTCTGGTTACATGGAACCAGGCCAAAACTTTGAAAGGTAGAACATTATTTTTCCTTCCTTACAACATTTCTCACTCAGAATTGTTGTAGGATTAAATAAGGCATTTCAAAATACTACACAGTTCTCAATAAATGTAACACTATCATAATTAGAGGAAGAAAAATTAAACGTGTTCCTAGGTTAGTAAAACTGCACAGTAAATCTGGAAACAGGAAACTAAGTCGTGTTTGCACTCACTGGCCTATGATCCTCTCTTCATCCTCCCAATCCCCCATCCCAGGAAGTCTCGGATTGACTCTCCATGATCCGGGGCAGCTCATGAGGCATCTCAACAGATGCATTCGGAAGAATTCATAGATGACTCTGATTCCAAACTCTTAATCGGCATCGATTTTTAATACCAGTAACTGTCAAAGGCCCACAGTCCTCAAAGGCGGCCCACTCCGACACCTAACGGCACTTCCGGAACACTCCACAAGATGGCGCCCTTGCTTTTCAATCTTCGGCACACCGGCGGAGGACGCCTTGCCTGGGCGCCGACCTCGCTCTCCAGGGTTCAGGGCCTGACCTCGGACAGAGGCTCGCTGTGGGGGGATGGGCGGGGGTCTGACTGGCCTCGAGGGGGATCCTGGCTCGGTGGGCCTATCGGCCCGGGATCCCAGCCTGCGGGCCGGAGTCCGCCCCAGCGCGATGCGGGGTGAGCTCGAATGCCCGGCTCCACGAACCACGGCCTTTCCCCCGGCACGGCCTCTCGGCACTGCCCCTGCTAGACACCAGCGAGCTCGTCACAGCGCCGGCAGGCGTCGCGGGGCAGCGGCAACCGAGTCCTGTCACACGGCCGGGGGAGGCCTCGCGTGCACGTTCGGCGGGCTCCGGGCACCCTGACACCTAGACACAGAAGGCGCTGGGGGCGGGGCGGCCGGGAAGGGCTGTGCGGGGGGAAGGGCTGTGCGGGGGGAAGGGCTGCGCGTGGGAAGGGCTGCGTCTGCACCCGCGCCCAGCTCGCTCAGGTCACTGCACTGCCTCGCCTACCGGCAGTTGGGGCTGGGGTGGGGCCAGTCGCTTGACCTCGGGTTTGTTTTCCTCGCTAAGGCTCGGAGCCTTCGAAGAACGGGCGGCAGGGCCCACGGACGCCGCGATGGCCTCCTCGTGGCCGCGAGAACTCTCAGCGGCCGGAGTTCGAGGCGCGCGGCTCCGTTCGGAAGCGGGACAAGACCGGCTTCTCGGCCCTGCGTGCTCAGGGCGGCCGTGGGGCGGGGCGTCGGCCGTGATGTGGTGTCGCGTTTCGAGTCTCCGCCCCCTTGTCGCCGGCCGGTATATAAGACTTCCCCGAGCATTCTCACTCGCACAAGTGGACTGGGCTGTCGGGTGCGCGTCGGCAGCAGAGGCAGGGGTGCGAGGGCCACGGCCGGCTCGGACGTGTGACCGCGCCTAGGGAGGGGGAGGCAGCGGGCAGTGCGGGGCGGCGAGGCGACCATGGAGCTTTTGCGGACTATCACCTACCAGCCGGCCGCCAGCACCAAAATGTGCGAGCAGGCGCTGAGCAAGGGTTGCGGAGGGGACTCGAAGAAGAAGCGGCCGCCTCAGCCCCCCGAGGAATCGCAGGCGACGCAGTCCCAGGCGCAGGTGCCGCCCGCGGCCCCGCACCACCATCACCATCACTCACACTCGGGGCCCGAGATCTCGCGGATTATCGTCGACCCCACGACGGGAAAGCGCTACTGCCGGGGCAAAGTGCTGGGAAAGGTGACTAGCGGAGGGCGCCGGGCTGCCGGGCGGGCGGGAGGTCTGCCCGGGCGACCCTGAGCTGGGCGGGCCCGCGGGGTCCCGCGCCCGCCGCTTCCAGGTTTCTAGGGGGTCCGATCCCAGCGCGAGGTGGGCTCCTCACCTGTCCTGTGGCTTTTGTGCGCCGGCAGCACAGGCGATCTCGGCTTTGCAATCTTAGCCTCAGAACTGTGTGCCTCCCGCAGCCCAGAGAAATGCATCTTGAAAGAAGCGAGGGCTTTCTATTTCAGACCTCTCTCCCTCCACCTGCTCCCAGAGAATTTTCCTGACAAGTCTCATCAGACATTATTTTTCATGTCTCCCCGCCCCGACCCTCCATAAATCTCCCGTTTGTAAAGGAAGAAGAGAAACTGGACTTGCTGTTTCCAGCAATGCGTTTCTCTTCACGAGGGAGCTTTAACGGAGTTAGAATGCATCTCTCTGTCCACTCTTCTCCATTCCTTTTTTTTTTTTTTTTT